TAATAATAATAATAATTCAATATGAGCATTGCAGTCTCACTCTAGGTTATGCTCATATTGACATTTATTATTATTATTATTATTATTATTATTGGAAAGCAGTACATTTTATTGATTAGCCCATGGGCCATATCAAAAAAAAATATTGGAAAGGAGGTCACATTGTGGAGGAGGAAGGCTGTTTTTCTGTTGTTCCAGAGAGACAACGGAGCCATGGGTTCAAATGGCATGGAAAGAGATTTCACCTAAACATTAGGAAGACATTTTGGGTAGTTAGAAAGCATAATCTTCTCCCTCAAAGTCCAGTGGAGTCTTCTTCTCTGGAGGTTTTAAAGGAGAGGCTGGATGGCCATCTTTTGGTAGGGATTGAATAGTATATTCCCTTATTGCAGAAGGGGGCTGGACTAAACTGCTCTAGATGGCCCTTGGGGTCCCTCAAGCACAAGTGGAATATCAGACGATACAGCTGTTGGGAATTGTGGGTGTTGAAGTCCAAAACACCTGGAGAGAGGGCTAAAGTTTGCCCATGCCTGTCTTAGATAGTCTTTGTTTGTTTGTTTATTGTACTCTGTGGCATTGAATATTGTACTGTATGGCATTGACTATAGATATGGCCATCTGTTGTGGCTCAGCTTGATGGGCCTGAAACTGAACCCTCTTGTGAGCCTGAAATGTTCCCTGATGAAGAGGATGATGGGATTCAGTTTTCTGGGCCTGCTTCTATGCCTTTCTCTGGGCCTCTTGCAGGCAGTGCACCGGAGGAGTCGCCAAGTCAGTTCTCATGGGAAAAGAATGCCAGCAAGTTAGATAACAACCAGGTGCAGAGGCCTTCTCTTTCACAGCCGTCTCACGCTGATAGAGAAGAGAGCTTGGATAGTGATTTAATGAGCAGGCAGGAACGTTTAGATTGGCGGGTCAGGAGGAGTTCACGGATACCCAGCAAGAAAGAAGCTAGGTCGGTGAAAGGTCACCGTAATGCTTTCATGTTGTCAAGAGCGTAATGTTTTCATTGGCAAAAAGTATTTAGGCTTCTGGTTAACAGGGGGAAGGTGTCAGTTCAACATGGCTTTGGCATGAAAGCTTCTATGGAATAATCTTGGCTTCACAGCAGCACGCTTTAGGCTTCCTGCATCGTGATTCTTAGGGCTTGTGTTTCACTGTTTTTACCATGGACTCTGATTTGACCATTGCTTAAAGGATTATGTTTTATGTTCCTACCTGAGGTCCTTTGGAACTGTGTTTTGCATTTAACCTTTGTCTTTGGAACTTCGCATTGCTTATTCTATGTTTTGACTTGGATTTTTCCTCAATAAACTACAAAATCTACGGCTCTTGTGTGGTGGTGCTTGGGAGCAAGGTGAAGCCTACTCTGAGTTGCAACACCATCTATCTATCTGTCAGCGTGCTTCCATTGTATCTTTTTGCAGAACAGGGTTGGACTAGATGGCCCTTAGAGTCCCTTCCAAGTCTAGGAATCTGTGACGGACAGGTGCATCCTGATCCTTGACCTCCAACCTGGCCCAGTTGTCCTAACCAAGCGTTTCCTGTCTGTCCCGACAGCTCTCCGAAGCACATACCTGCCCCTTCTGTCGCCGGAAAATCTGTGGCCACGTGGACATCGTCATTGACCCCTTCACGTTTGAGGAGAAGGCCCCCGTGGCGGAGGAAGAGGAGGGTGATGAAGGGGACTTGGAAGACATCGAGGCCGTGCTGAAGGAGCTGGTGGCCGCCAGGCAAGCCAAAGAGGTCAGCCGGAGAGGATCCCCAAACTGGGTGACACTTCCTTCCCTAAATAACTAAGAGCACTGGAGAAGATCGACAAAGAAAATGAACCAAAGATAAAACTTAACATAACCCACACAGACATAATTTGTCACAGGGTAAAACATCTAAAACTAACAGCTACAACCTTACAGAGCATGTTGTGGTGGCCCCCAACCATAACATTTAACATTCTGACTAATGGGTTGTTGTAGGTTTTTTCGGGCTATATGGCCATGTTCTAGAGGCATTTCTCCTGACGTTTGGCCTGCATCTATGGCAAGCATCCTCAGAGGTAGTGAGGTCTGTTGGAACTAGGAAAGTGGGTTTATATATCTGTGGAATGACTGGCGTGGAACAAAGGACTCGCAGGTTCGCAGCTTGGGAGTGATCCTGGACTCATCGCTGAGCCTGGAACCCCAGGTCTCAGCGGTGGCCGGGAGAGCTTTTGCGCAATTAAAAGTTGTGCACCAGTTGTGCCCGTATCTTGGGAAGTCTGATCTGGCCACGGTGGTCCACGCTCTTGTTACATCCCGAATAGACTACTGCAACGCTCTCTACGTGGGGTTGCCCTTGAAGACTGTTCGGAAACTTCAACTAGTCCAGCGAGCGGCAGCCAGACTGCTCACCGGAGCGACATACAGGGAGCACACCACCCCCCTGCTGTGCCAGCTCCACTGGCTGCCGGTTCAGTTCCGAGCACAATTCAAGGTGCTGGTTTTGACCTACAAAACCCTGTACGGTTCCGGTCCAGTGTATCTGTCCGAACGTATCTCCCTCTACGTCCCACCTCGGAGTCTGAGATCATCTGGGGAGGCCCTGCTCTCGACCCCACCACTGTCACAAGTGAGGCTGGTGGGCACAAGGAGCAGGGCTTTCTCAGTGGTGGCCCCTCACCTGTGGAACTCACTCCCGGGGGAAATCAGGGCATCATCATCCCTCCTTGCCTTCAGAAGGAGGGTGAAGACGTGGTTATGGGACCAGGCCTTTGGGCACTCTGGCAATTAAATCAGACAATCAGGCGAGTAAGACCAACAGGATTGATGAAGTGGAACGTAAAACTAGATCTATCAGTTAGCGAACGCTGACCATGTAAGAGGAGAAATTGGGTTTGTATTGGTTTTATTGATTTTATTGATTTTATGGTTATAATGCATGAATTGTTGTCAACTGTGAATTGATGTAATTTTGTGTATGATTGTTTTATGATGCAGGCATCAAATTGTGCCTTTGCCTTTGTAAGCCGCCCTGAGTCCCCTTCAGGGTGAGAAGGGCGGGGTAAATGAACCCCAAATAAATAAATAAATAAATTGTCTGTTGGAGCTAGGTGTGAATGTTTGATTAGCATTTGATTGCCTGGCAGTGCCTGGAGCAATTTTTTGTTGAGAGGTGATTAGATGAAGTCAGCCATAGCAGAGCACCTGAGGAACCAACCTGGACACAGCATTTTATTTGAGAACACAGAAATGCTGGACCACTCTCACAACCACCATGTCAGACTACACAGAGAAGCCATTGAAATACACAAGCATGTGGACAATTTCAACAGAAAGGAGGAAACCATGAAAATGAACAAAATCTGGCTACCAGTATTAAAAAACTCTAAAATTAGAACAGCACAACAACAGAGAAGAAACAAACAAGGACATCTAATCACCTCTCAACAAAAGATTGCTCCAGGCACTGCCAGGCAATCAAATGCTAATCAAGGTGGTCAGTTGAAACATTCACACCTAACTCCAGCAGACAAAAGTCCTTTGTCCCACCCTGGTCATTCCACAGATATATAAACCCATTTTCCTAGTTCCAACAGACCTCACTACCTCTGAGGATGCTTGCCATAGATGCAGGCGAAACGTCAGGAGAGAATGCCTCTAGAACATGGCCATATAGCCCAAAAAAACCTACAACAACCCAGTGATTCCGGCCATGAAAACCTTCGACAATACAAAAAATACAGTGTTTTCTGATGGTCTTTGGTGACCCCTCTGACACTTGCTCATGACCCCTTCGGGGGTCCTGACCCCCAGTTTGAGAAACACTGCCACAGATTCTGTACTTGGCACTTTTATCCCCAATCTACTCTAAATTCCTGCCAGAAACTTGTTTCTATTCAGGCTGGACTCTGTTATCAATTTCTCTCTGGATGATCTCTCTCAGCGGTGTCATGTAAATGCCGAACAGCATGGAGAACGTCAGAACTGAACCCTTTCACTATGTACCACAATGTGAAAAATGTTCTGTTCCTGTTTTGAAAGTATCATTTCCTGTTTAATTGTGCAGTCCTTCCTTATTATGAAAGTAGTTGTTCTGCTCCAGAAGCTTGGTTTTTGTGCCACAAACTAAGTTGAATTGACCTCACTACCTCTGAGGATGCTTGCCATAGATGCAGGTGAAACGTCAGGAGAGAATGCCTCTAGAACATGGCCGTATAGCCCGAAAAAAACCTACAACAACCCAGTGATTCCGGCCATGAAAGCCTTCGACAATAGGTTGAATTGGTTGCAACTCAATTTATTTATCGTGTCAGGGCAACCAGTCGATTATATTACATTTCTAACAGAACAAAGCAAACAAACAGACAAATACAAAACTTGTGCGTTTGGTAGCTGATTAAATGTCCTTTGACCAGTCTCTGGCCCCTTGGAGTGCCTCTGGTGTTGCCGCAAGAAGGTCCTCCCTTGTGCCTGTGGCAGGGCTCAGGGTGCATTGCAGAAGGTGGTCAGTGGTTTGCTCTTCTCCACACTCGCATGTCATGGATTCCAGTTTGTGGCCCCATTTCTGAAGGTTGGCTCTGCATCTCGTGGGGCCAGAACACAGTCTGTTCAGCGCCTTCCAAGTCACCCAGTCTTCTGTGTGCCCAGGGGGAAGTCTCTAATTTGGTATCAGCCATTGGTTGAGGTGCTGGGTTTGAGCCTGCCACGTCTGGACTCTTGCTTGCTGGGGTGTTCCAGCGTGTGTCTCTGTAGATCTTAGAAAAGTATTTCTAGATTTAAGTTGTTGACGTGCTGGCTGATACCCAAACAAGGGATGAGCTGGAGACGTCTCTGCCTTGGTCCATGACACACAACTCTACTACTCCTTTCCACCTAATTCCAAGGAGGCCTCTCGGGTGCTGGGCGAGTGCCTGGCCGCTGTGTCTATCTGGATGAGGAGGAACAAGCTGAAGATCAATCCCGACAAGACAGAGGTCCTCCTGGTCGATCGCAAACCGGATCGGGGTATAGGGTGGCAACCTGTGTAGGACGGGGTTGCACTCCCCCTGAAGCCACAGGTCCGCAGTTTAGGAGTCCTCTTGGATTCATTGCTTACGCTTGAGGCTCAGCCGTCAGCGGTGTCCGGGAGGGCTTTTGCACAATTGAGACTCGTGCGCCAACTGCGACCGTACCTCGTGAAGGCTGATCTGACTGGTGTGGTCCATGCCTTAGTCACCTCTAGATTGGACTACTGTAATGCGCTCTACGTGGGGCTGCCCTTGAAAACGGCTCAGAAATTCCAGCTGGGCCAACGGGCAGCGGCCAGGATGTTAACTGGTGCTCCTTACAGAGAGAGGTCAACTCTTCTGTTTAAGGAGCTCCACTGGCTGCCGTTTATCTTCCGAGCCCAATTCAAGGTGCAGGTGCTTACCTACAAAGCCCTGAACGGTTTGGGACCTGCCTACCTGCGTGACCGCATCTCCGTTTATGAACCCACGTGCTCACTTCATTCATCCGGAGAGGCCCTGCTCGTGATTCCACCTGCGTCACAGGCACGTTTGGTGGGGACGCGAGACAGGGCCTTTT